AACAGTTAGATGAAAATGTACTGTTTCAAAATTGAATTTGTAAAAAACTCGTTTATAAAACGGTCAATTTTTCATCAAATTTTTAAATTACTTAGGACAACTGTTCATTTTAGTTGAAATATTTTAGAGTTTGAAAAATACGTTACAGACAATCTTTTACTATCGAGTTTTAAAATGAAATATGTCCAATACTATAACAGCCTTTTTTTCTAGAAAAAATATTTGTTCGTCTATTTCGACATTTTGAATTTGTTTGCCTGAAATTATCAAAAAATTTTTATTTGAATGTCAATTAATGAATAAATTGTTCTTGCGGGAGAGTTTCAAAGGAGAAGCAGTCCAACCTGCCAGAGGTAGAAAGGGAAATGTTGTGGGTGTCAGATGAACAATTGATGCATGCTCATCTAGGGATTCTTCTTCAGGGATAAATATAACAATTTCTATTTTTTCAAATTTTGATTATTTTCTATATCTAAAAAAACTTTTGAATGCTCCGATTGTTTTGTTTGACAAAGTTTTTAAAATATACAGAAACAGTTTGAGAACTGAAATTTATGTTATTGTTGCCTGAAAAATTGTATCACTCTAGAGTTTTGCATACATTTGACTTAATTTCTAAATTTCTTTCACTGCAGTGAAGAATTTTCATTGAAGTTTTGTTCCCATCTTTATAAGCAAGACAAATGTTAAATGCAAATTACGTACGTCCACTGTCTTGATGGCTCCCGCGAGTATGATAAGATAGCAAACAAACAAAGTACAAGATAACAAGGCTTTGCATCATCGTCTTCCTTGTCGTCATCATCCTCATTACCAACAAAGACATTATCATCGCCATCATCAACATTATCGTCATCAGCAAACAAAAATGTTTAGTGCAATGTTTAATTGGAGTTTTGAAGTAAGGTCACTTACACCGTGAAACGTTTGTCTCCGTGATTAAGATGCTTTGCTGACTTTTGAAAACGAAAATTCACAGATGAGCCAATTATATTTGTTGTATCAGCAAAGCAAAATTTTGTAAACTACATTAAAAATTAAATTGATCTGCAAAATGTTTAAACCTTTATAATTAAAACCTTGGAGATTTACAATTGGACTGCAGAGTTTGCTTCATTTCAACAAATTAACTCAAAAAACAAAAATTATTTCAACTAATTGTTTTCTTTTTTATAATATCAGCACACAAAATGCAGTTTCAAAAAAAGTAAGATTCTAAAAAAGTAGAAATTTTTTGTGATTGCCAGCACTGCTTTTTCTTTTTATTAAGTTTTTCAACGGCGTATTGTAACGGCTAAAATGTTTTAATTTCCTGAAAGGTATTTTTTGAAATAATGCGTGTATGGAATTTTAAATTGTTAACATTCCCACACATTTCAAATACTTATTTCACACATTTGCACACAACATAAACCAACATACACATAACATGTACGTACCGTACACACAGGCCTTTTTTGCGAGTGCACATGCGTTCCATAGATTGTGGTTGAATTTGAGGGATGAAGATGAAATGAGAATGAATGTTGTACGAAGATCATGGGGTGAACTGCTGGAAAGCACTTTTCATTGTTCGTGATTGTTCTTGTCTTCATTCATTAATTTGCCATATTGTTACTCATTTTTCTTTCTTTAACTTTAGTTATACTCAGTTATATGTTGGTTTATGTTGTGTGCAAATGTGTGAAATAAGTAAAAATGTTAAACAACATTTAAAACAATGCAATTCATCTGAATAATTTAAAAAGCACTGTATCTTTCAAATATTCCAAATATTATATTTAAAATGATTTCCGCCAACAACCCAACAAAATCAAAAATTTCGATACAGTTTATAAATTACCATAAATATCAGCAAAACTTAACACGAAACAGAAAATACAACAACAACGACATGGCAACAACACGACGACAACAACTATCATTGACAATTATAATGAAGATCATCTGGGTAATTAATTACTCCCTCGACCAACATTATCATTCAGCAGTTTTTCATCCATAATCGTCAGCAATGACAAATTCATGACGTCACTGTCGTTGGCATTCGAAGCGATAACGACAACTGAATGCCATCAGAATTCCATAGCTTCTCCTCCACGAATGGAGTATGGAGCATCATTTTCCACCCTCCCCATCGCCATTAATCATCGTCGTTGTCGCCAGAAAAAATATTAATAGAGTTTTTAGTGTTACCGCTCGAAATTAAGTACTTTTATTATTACATTTCTTCACTTGTGATTCACCAGTGGTGTAAAAATGTTGAGGATTGGTTACATCGGGGTTCATTATGATTGTTGTGATATAATCTTCATATTTTTTCATATCTTTTGGGTATGTCGTTGATTTTAGATATTATTTTATAAGTAGGTGCTAACAAATTTTGGTACGGTTTGAGAAATTTTATGAAAATTCTTTTTTCCATCTAATGATAATTATTCTTAAGCACCTAGCAAGGTTTTGAACTAGCAGACCAACTGTCCGTCACACAAATATGTTGAATCTTTTTATCAGGTTGTCACCAAAACTTCTCTTACAAAAATTTTCATCGCCTTTCTGGTGTTAACAAACTTGCTTAAAAATTGTTAACTAACGAAAAATTTTGTAGATGAGTCAATTTTTGCTGGCAAAAAAATTTCGTCATGAAGGGTCAGCGAGTAAACTTCGGTGATCAAGTTGGCATGTTTTTTACAATTTGTTTAAAAAAATTAAATGTTGTGGTTTGAATGTATCTTGTGCAACATTTAAAAAATGACATAGATAGGCATGTTTGTGTGTGTGAGTGGTGTGTGTGTGGTTTAAACGTATTGCGCATGCGTTTGTATGGTGTCGTTTTAAATTTGTTGTCTTGAAAAGGTTTTACTCAGCACCTAAAATATTTATTTGCAAGCAGTTCTACCTTTTTCAATGCTGTTTAAAAATAACTTCTTAAACTAAATAAAAAAAATTGAGTTGAAGGAAAAACGGAGAAAAAAGTTCAGAAAAAAATTTTGGCTTTTAGTTCTCAACACATTATTGTCATCAATTAACATTTCAAAAACTGACACTGAAGTTAAAAAATTTACATTTTTTTCTGAAAAAAAGCGAATTTTTTTTGGTCCTTGACTGGACGCACGTGCGAAAAAAAAGAATTCTAAGATGAGCCATAAATATCAATCATCTCTGGTGCCCCGCCACTCTTCACATTTGAATAACGCCTCAGCTTCTCACGCGGCAGCTTCTTATGCAGTCATTCCCACTGGAAACATTTTTCACTTGCAAGATAGGAAAACCTCAATTATTTATTAATCCATTAACTGCGAGTTTGCTATTTTATAACATGTTGTTCTGACAAATCTCGTCAATAAATAGCTTAAGTTAATGAAAAGCGATTTAAATCAATGCTCCTACATCAATTCATATTTGGCTTGACATAATATTTTATGGATATTTTATTTATTTATATTACAATCAAAGTGCTCTATTTGCGGTTGGTGGTGGTTATACACTGCACCAATAATGTTATTGATGATGGGGATCTTTTTGTGTCAAGAAAATTTGTACTCAAATGGTATGTTTTCAAAAAGGAAGAGTTAAACGTTTTACATTATGACACACTATAATTGTCACCATCGTCATCATCACTATAGGCGCATCATCATCATCATCATCATCATGGCTCTCTACGTCACCATTACACAACGTGACGTCATACGAAAAGACATAAACCAAAACATATGGCTTGCATTATTAAATTCCTGTCATCAGAATATTGTTCATCAAATGATCCATTGAATATTCATGAGATCGTCTGTACGTTACGCTCTTAAGCACATGTACGTACATATAATAGGGTTTTATAGTATTCTATGTACTTGTGTGTGTTGTATGTGTGTGTGTGTGTGTGTGTGTGCGTGTGTGAATGTTCTTGTACTTTTCTATGATACACTTCACCAGATATATCCAAGAGCCCCAAGCAGAGAAGTTTTTTTTCAAACCGCAGCCGCCCTTATCCGCAGAGTTAAGGTACGCAACCGCACTGCTCATTATCCGCACCGCACCTGCGAAGAGGCAACCTAAATCGGCCGTCATAATCTCATGTTTAAAATTAGAAAATAGCAATACTAGAGAGCAATCTATTTTTTATAATACAATTATAATATCACTGGTACGCATTATATCAGATGTTTTAAAAAAAAAACTTTTTCTAATAAGTTTCAATGGGCTGATTTCAAATATGTAATACATTCTTTTCTATCACGCACAGTTTTAACAAAATCTCAAAAAAACGGTTTAAAGCATCATATAACTGAACTTAATTAATTAATTAATAGCAAATATACGTCTGGAAATTATATGCAACAGATAAGTTTAGAAATAATGACTATCAAAGCAAGAATAAAAATATTTCGGTGAGTTTGATTCAGATAAACCGGTTTGTACGGCAATTTTCACGGTGTTTTCACATTTTTCACATACTAACCATATGTATCATCATCATCACCAAAATAATAATAATAACTATGTTAGAAAACACAACTATGTTAACAAATGAGTCTATGGTATGTAAAAAAATACGTCTAAAAATAAAAAAGTATAGTAATAATAAGTAACCAATATTTCTAACTATTGTAAATAAATCAAACAGTGCAAAAAACTTAAACCGCGCAATATATGCACAGGTACAACCAAAACCACCCACACCTCAATATAACCGTGTAACATAACCCATAATCATTACGCAACTCTATATAACTCTATATAAAAGCCAAACTACATAATCGAACAACTCTATATAACCGCGTCACTCTATACAACCGCACAACTCTATATAACTGCGCAAATGTATAAAACAGCGCAATTCTATATAACCGCGCAACTCTATATAACCGCGCAACTCTATATGTCTATATAATCGCGCAACCATATATAACTCTATATAACCGTGCAACTTTATATAACCGCACAAATCTATATAACCCCGTAACTTTATATAAATCTATATAACCGCGCAAATCGATAAAACTTTATACTACCACGCAACTTTATACAACTGCGCAACTCTCTATAACCGTGCATTTCTATATAACCACGTAATTCTGTATAACCGCGCAATTTTATATAATCGCGCAACTTTATATATAACTGCGCAACTCTATAAAACCGCGCAACTTTATATAACCGAGCAAATCTATACAATCACGCAATTCTATAACCCAATATAACCGCGCATTTCTATATAACCGCGCAATTCTATATAACCGCGCAACTTTATATAACCGCGCAACTCTATATACCTCTATATAACTCGCAACTCCATATAACTCTATAAAACCGCGCAACTCTATATAACCGCGCAACTCTATATAACCGCGCAACTCTATATAACCGCGCAACTCTATATAACTCTATATAACTGCGCAACTCCATATAACTCTATAAACCGCGCAACTTTATAAAACCGCGCAACTCTATATAACCGCGCAACCCTATTTAACTCTATATAACTGCGCAACTCCATATAACTCTATATAACCGCGCAACTCTATATAACAGAGCAAATTTATATAACCGCACAACTCTATAACCCAATATAACCGCGCAACTCAATATAACTGCGCAACTCTATATAATGTGTGTGTGTGTCTCTACTTCAGAAATCTTCCCCACTGCCATCCAGTCTCTTTCCACGCACCATCCATCACTTGACACGCACCACTGACTTGTTCAACACCATCATCTTCTGAACGGTAGGAGTCTTAGGAATCTTAGGGACCTTAGGAATCTTCTCCACTGCCAACCTATCTCCAACGCCCCGACCACCATCTGCCTGACGTACCCACCCACTGCAGTTGAAGGATACACCTGTTTGAAAAAAAGTTCTGAATTTAATATTTTAAATTGAAAAATTATCTAACAATTCTAACATTTGAGAAACATTGCTCACGCCATCTTCAAAATGGCAGAGGATCAGCCGGGCAAAAATTGGCGTTCATCACCTGGTCTGACTCTTGCAAGGGCATCATTCTCCCGCAGGTAGGTTAAGTTAGGACCCCCAGACACACAAGAGCCAGCATGGCGGATTGTTTTGAAGAAAGTTTTTAAGGATTATTTATATTAAAATGTAAGATTAACTGACAAAATTAAATAATTTTGTATAATGCAATATTTGTCTGTGTGTAATGTTTGTGTGTAATGTTGGTTTGTGTGTAATGTTACTGTTGTGTACGTGTAATGTTTGATGTGTGTATGGTTTGGTGTGTGTAATGTTTGGTGTGTGTAATGTTTGGTGTGTGTAATGTTTGGTGTGTGTAATGTTTTATATGTGTGTGTAATGTTTGTTGTGTGTGTGTTTAATGTTTTTTGTGTGTATGTGAGTGATGGCGATGTGAAACAAAAACAAACACATAACAATCATTAAGTGAGAAGTTACAAGAATAGAAGTCACATACGTACCGTTAATTAACGCTTAAGCTCTAACTTACCTATAACAATTGGCTCATCTCAAATCTCACCTACTTATCATTAATTAACTCATCTTAGGTGTTGTATGTTAGGCCCTAACTTACCTACCTTTGATTAAACTCAACTAACTCTTGGCGTCAGTCCAGTAGAGAAGAAAAGTAGAAGAAAATAGATGACATTAAAAAACACCAAACAAATGAATGTTATGCATGTTGTATGTATGTGTTGTGTGTGTGTGTGTGTGTGTATGTGTAGTGTATGCGTATATATGTGTATGCATGTGTTGTATGTATGTGCTGTGCATGTGTATGTATGTGTTGTGTGTGTGTGAATGTGTTTGTGTGTGCGTGTTGTGTTTGTTTATGTATGTGTTGTGTTGTGTATGTACATATGTGTGGTGTTTGTGCTACTGTATGTGTTGTATATGTATGTATGTAAGTATGTATGTGTTGTGTGTGTATGTATGAAAGATATACGAATGGGAAACGAATGGGAAAACGTGAGATAAACTCAACTTCAATAATATTTTTTCTTCTGCCAACCCCACTTTTGAGGCACCACTGATTCCTAGTAAGCTGCACCAGAGCCTGTCACTGAACAACCGAGAAACACGTGGAAGCAATTTTTCAGTCTGTATTTCATTTAGAGACTTTCTCGCATACATTCCTGTCGGTTTTCATGTTGAAATGTTTTTTAATGTTACTATAATGCATAAGTACTTTCTTTTCGTTTGACAACGTTTGATTTACTTAGAGAGTAGATAAAATGAAGAAAAAACAACGGTAGAATCACAACGAAACGTTAAACAATATTGAAATGCTTTAAAAGTTAAAAACCAGATATTATTGTTTTAAAATGTGTAAAAATCTTAAAACTATAGAGGAAACTGCAAAAATATAATTGTACTATTAAGTTGGCAACTACTGCTGCTACTGCTACTACTACTACTACTAATAATAATAATAACAATACTGCTGCTACTACTATTAGTTATTATCATTATTAGTAGAAGCTGTTAAATAAAATTATTAAAACATTTCTAACAGCTACGCGAGTAAAGAAATCAATGACCATCCCTATTTTTTTACAGTGTGCAACAGTACAGTGTACACTTTCGACATGCCAGCCAACCAGCCGGCCAGCCAACATACATTCTATGCATTAGTTACTACAATACTAAAAAAATAATTCCTACTACTATTACTACTGCTGCTACTATCGCTACTGCTACTACTGCTGCTACTGAAATTTGTGTAGTTAGGCAAATTTGTAGCAAATTTTTATTTTAAATGTATAAAATTTTTACAATTCCACGTATGCCACACTTTTTGAGTCGCTTCAGTCAGCTTCAGTCGTCGCGTTTGTTTTAATATATTGGAAGTTTGAATTACAAATCTACCCTATATACATATATTATTATAATTATATTTCATAATTATATAATTTGAATTCCATATCTACCCTATATACATTATATAGAGTTTGGCGGTTATATAGAGTTATATTAGTATTATATAAAATTAATTATTATGAGATAAACTCTACCTACGTACATACATACATATATCTATTTAATTTCAAATTCAAATTACTTCTGTTGATCAGCTCTGGCCGCTTTTGATCGGCTGTGTGGTAGTAGTTGATCGTTTTTTTTAACGTTCCAACTATGGTAACTCTATTGAAAGTAACACGGTAATGACAGTTAAGTATCGTTCGAGTTGTACTCACTTTTGAACTTACAGCTGTTAAAACAATTAGTGGCCATCCCATTTTACAAAGCGTATATTTTATGTATCAGTATTACTTATTTTGTCTGTAAAGTATATGTGTTGTTGGATACTTTACATGTATGCACGTAAATGACGATTGCATACATTCATGAATACATTCAGCCTTTGTGGCACAAAATTTTTTTTTACTGGAACTAACTAAGTAGGGAACAATTTGTAAGCAGCTCTGCCTGCGTTTGTCAGCTATGCCTAATGGCGGAGACACAGAATGTATAGAGGTTTGTCAAGTTAAATGGCTTAGCGGTTGGACTTACTGGGTTTTCTGGTACACTTGTTATCTGCTATTTGTACCGGAGCTAAATTGATAGATGTATGGGTGGATGAGTGGATGGATGAACGAATGGGTGGGTTGATGGATGAATGAATGAACGAATGGATGGGTAGATGGATGAATTATTAGTTGTTATATTAATATATATATTAATAGTTATTAATTATTCAGGCATTAATGAATGAATGGATGGATGAATGAATGGATGGATGGATGGGTAGATGTATGGGTTGATGGATAGATGAATGAATAGATGGATAAATGAATGAAATTTGGTAAAACTTAACTAATCGACTATAAAACTGAAAAAATTTGTTTATGTTAGGTTTTCGAACAGTAATAAATAAACCATGATGAATTAATTAATCACAGGCAGGCAATGAAAAACACAAAACCGAATAAATCAAGCAGTTGGACCGAGCAAGAAGGACAAAAAAAATTTACCAAGACTGTAGGACTAATAAAACAAATAAAGTCATACAATAGATCACAAAAAACATACAAGCAGACAAACAACCAAACAAACACAGAAAGAACAATAGAAATCTCTACGGAGCTTATCATTCCTTTGATTCCAATGCTTTAAATATCCAGTCGTCTACCATTCAAGACTACCATCATCGTCATCACGATCAACAACATCATCCACAGCTTTATTATTACCAACATCTTCTTCTTCATTATTATATTCTCAGCTACTCTCCCGATTTATAACGCATCACATTACATTGCAATCTGCGACTATTCATCGGCACATTACTCACAGCGGTTTTTGAAGGTAAAAAATACATACATACTTACATACATACATACATACATACATACATACATACATACATACATACATACATACATACATACATACATACATACATACATACATACATACATACATACATACATACATACATACATACATACATACATACATACATACATACATACATACATACATACATACATACATACATACATACATTCATACATACATACATACATACATACATTCATACATACATACATACATACATACATTCATACATACATACATACATACATACATACATACATACATACATACATACATACATACATACATACATACATACATACATACATACATACATACATACATACATACATACATACATACATACATACATACATACATACATACATACATACATACATACATACATACATACATACATACATACATACATACATACATACATACATACATACATTCATACATACATACATACATACATACATACATTCATACATACATACATACATACATACATACATTGAGTGATTGGGTATGGTCGAGAGTATATGTGTGCATCTATATATGAATTTAAAGGATTTATCTGTTTTGTTTTAGTTCTTTTTACAATGTATACTTATGTTTATTTTCGAAATATTTATGCTTTTGTTTAATTACTTAAATGGACAAAAATTTTTTTTTTTTTTTTTGGTTATGTTGGATAGCGACTTTGGGTAGTTCTATAAAAGTCGTTATACAAGTTTTCTTATAATAATAATAATACATACATACATACATACATACATACATACATACATACATACATACATACATACATACATACATACATACATACATACATACATACATACATACATACATACATACATACATACTTAACTTCAGGCAAACATTTTAGAACAAAAAAACAATACTATCTGTTAACAACTTATCATTATATTGTTATTTCATAAAGCACTCAGAAAATGACCTTGGTAATGTGGGAAGAAATAATTGATTGAAGTACATGATGTGATAAATAAATAACGAAACTTATAAATAATAAAAAATGAATACAAAATTGAAACAAACAAACAGACAAATTTTAAAAAGTTAAATCAGTTACACTCTTCCATTGTTCAGAGCAATCAACAACATACATATATACATTCTAAACAGCGCATCAGACACCAAACATTTAATAGGCTGGGAACTTTTTTGTCGTATTCGAACCCGGTTACTGCAAAACGGCGCCAAGCGACCTTAAACACTGGGCCATCAGGTCACCCAACATTGTGAAGCAATGAAAATTTGACGTAACAACGAAAATATGACGTTATATATCACGTGCTACATGCTCGCTTATGCTTATTGGATTAGTAAATATGCACTTATAAACAAAGTACAAATGCTTGATGTATTACTGTTCAGAAATTTTTCTTGAAAATGTTTTGGAAAATGATTAAATGATACATCCATGATGACGTTGAAAATGCGTTTGATAGTTTTAGATAATCGGATGATAAAAATAATGATGATAACGAACGATGGTGATAATAAAAAATAATATTTATGGTAATTACAGCATAACAAAAAAACAAACATGAAAAGAAATCGTAAAATGATGATTGGTTTAAACATGAATAGGTTTTGATTCATGTGGGCAGGGACAATGCCTCGACGTTATTCAAAACATGATGTTAATTTTGCGGTTCATCGCTCCGACCTTTCTCCATCGCCCCATTCTTCATACACTGCCCACCTACATTCATAAAGAGAGTTACGAGACAGAATTACACTGAAACGTCATGAATAAAACATGGTCGGTAGAGCATTTTATAAATCAATATGTTATGTTACTAATAAATTTAACATATTTCTAGACGAAAAACATCACCAAATAACTTATGAAAAAACATCACAAAACAACATAAAAAAAACCCATCACAAATATAACATTTTTCCAAAAAAACTCCGTGCAAAAAATGAAACAAAAATACTCTGTTTATATATTTTTGTGATGGTTGATTTGATGCATAACGCACTTTGCATGAGTAATGATGGCGTTAATATAATTGTCAGAGCAGCACCCAGTATAAATATTTTTCCTTACATCTAATATTTCTTTCTAAGACACATTGTTCTGAAAGCACTAAACAAAAAAAATTGACAATACATACATACATACCTGGGCTACCATGGTCTTTCTTGTCGGTTGGGCCCTGGTAGACAGGCTCGACACTCGGCCATGAACGACTTTTTGGTCAGGTGCTTTCAGAGGGCAAACATACCCACAATTAAAGAACCCACAGGTCTCATGGAGGAAGGTAGTCTCAGGCCCGACGGGTATACTATTTCACCATGGGCGCAGGAACGTTCCCTTGCATGTGATGTTACGTTCTCCCATACCATGGCTAAAAGGTACATTAATCTTACCTCACAGGAGGCGGGTGCCGCTGCCTTAAGAGCCGCAGACTTTAAAAATTCAAAATTTGCGGCTCTTGCAGATAGCAAAATTTTTCAGTCAGTCTGTATTGAGACCTCTGGTCCAACCGATTTTCAGACTCAGAATTTTCTGAATGAATTCTGTAGCAGGATTGTGGAAGTATCGGGTGACCCATTAGATAAGAGTTATGTAGAGCAATCTTTCTCTATTTTACTTCAAAAATATGATTCTTTCTGTATTTTGGATGGAGCGTTAAAATACATGTCTGTGCGAAGCGTTTAACATAGATTAAAGCAGAACCCGGATATGATTATTACTTCCTTATAGTTCTAATCAATTATGGGTTCATACATACATACATACGCACTTACATCAATACATAAATACGTACATACATATATACATAAATACATGTATTGTCATAACTAATGTATCATACCATCATACATATTTTAGCTAAAAAACAAATTTATGAAAATTCACACTCAAATATTGAATGTATGGAATACACGCAAACATACACGCACACAGGACATACTACACACAACAACAAACACACGTCACGCACACATATACATACACGACATACCAACACACTTAGATTTTTTTATATATTCACACACACATACACACACATGTACACACACATATACACTCACATGTACACACGCACATACACACACATGTACACACATTTACACACACACGTATACACGCACACATACGTATAAGCATCCTGTAAAGTAAAACGTGAATAAATATACTTGCGTATATTTGCGTTGCTCCATGTAGAAGGTCGTTATGCTTAATGGTGTCGTATAGTTGGCGTGTGATGCTCCCTTATATATAATCTTTTATTATTATTATTATTTTCATTGTATTTTTAAAGTTTTTATTTTTATTCAGTTATTTTTATGAAGTTATAAATTTTTTTCGTCAGCAAAATCATCAAACTCTGTTTTCAGTTTGAATCCCGTAAAATACTAGCATTATTTTTTGGCGTTTGATATCTATTTATTATTATAGCATCCTTATTTTGCGAACTATCCACATATTCCGGAGTGGTCTGACCCGTCGCCCAAGATCGTCTGAACTGCCACCCAGAGTCGTTTGACCCGCCACCGAGAGTCGTCTGACTCGCCACCATAAGCACTTGTACTTTCTCGTAGACAAAATTGTTAACAACCTTTTTATTTGGAGTCGATGGCTTGGTGGGTTGGGTTATGTGGACTTGCACGCAAATGGTGTAATGTTCGCGTTACACGCTCAGACGTTTTGTCGCAATTACGCTTAAATTTTTTTTTAAATTAATATGTTTTTGAAATTATCGTTAAAATATTTCTAAATGAATTATTAATAATGAAAAGTATTGCTTAGTTTTAGGTTTAAATTTTAAATGTAGTTTTTCCAAATTCTAGTAGAGTTCAACATTAGAGCGATAATATTTGACGACTTCTTGAATTCAGAATTTGTTAACCTATGTCATCTTTATAAAGTTGTTTTTTGAAACGTTTAAATTAAAAAAAATATGAAAAAAATATTTTAACGATTTTAACAGTCTTTGAAAATTTTTCTCAGAAAGTTGCTTGCTGCAGAAGCAGATTGCTATGGACAGGTCACGTTGTAAGTCTAAACGTTTCGCTCATATAATTTTTTCGGTTTTTATTAATTCTGACGTCATATTTGAAACAACTTGTCGGCAAATGTCTTTGCCCTCTTCGACATCAACATTTGAAAAAGTGTTTTTTAATAAATAATTTGAATGAAATTTTGATAGAAAAAAATGTTTGCTGAAAGACTTGAGCAAAACTATCAAAACAATCCTAAATTCAAAAATATAAGACATACTTTCTGTCACAGATAATAATTATCTCATTATAATTTAAAACTTTATTTTGGTCGAAATTGCGATGCAAACTTTTAAGAAACAAAAAAAACAACCCAAACAAAAGCAATTGAAAAAGGAAAAGAATTGAGAAATGAGGAAATGAAAGGAGAAAGAGGAAGAAGAAGAGGAGGGATGAGACAGGTGTGTCCCTCTTGTATAATTAAGAAGGTCACAAATGATTGATGCCTCGACGCCACGTTGGAGTTCCTACCTACTCACAGAACGCATTATGTGACAATAAAACTTCCTTCTTGGTGTGAAATTACTCTTTGAATAACAATTAGCCATTATAATTCTTCTTCACGAATTGGTGATGTATATATTTTAACTGGTAGAAGTAGCAAAATTAACTGTAAAAAGTAAAATGTTTATTTCAAAACGCAAACGTGACGTGACTTTTACATTGTAGGAAGAGTAGGGAATCGAGATAAATATATTTGGTATTTTTACTCCTTAAGTTTTATATTTCACGGCCACTTCTAGCAACAATATTTCTTTGTTTAACTCAGGCAAATATAAAACTTTTATACGTAGAAAGATTTTCCGGAAAAAACATTGAAAAAAAAATGAAGGAGTGAAAAAGTGAAAAAAGAAAGAAAGAAAGAAAAAATGAATGAATGAAGGATGGCACAATCAACAATCCAATGAGAACGAATACATCAAGTTGAAATGTCAGAAAGAAACTCAATCATGAAATTCCGCACGATGTGTGCTGAGCAAAATTTTGAATAAACAAAATCATGTTGCCATCACGCACGTTGAAGCGGTCAGACAGGCAAACATGAGCACGCACGCAGACCACCAAACCGACATACAGACAAACATACACAAATTGATACAGACAATGACAAATCAGACAGACTCCATTATTTATGTTTGTTATTTTGTTTGCTGTTTATTATATTTCCCCGTTCTTTGAAATCGGACAAAAACTGACCGTCGCAATGACACACACACACATACACAACACAAACACACACACACTCATCATGTTCTCGTTCAGTTCGTCATATCTGATGCTTAATTGTCTTGATCGATCACTTTGTATCAACTCTGGCAAGACCGCTAGCAATAATAAAAAAAATAATAGGTTTATATTAATAGCAATTTTATTATCAATATTGTGGTACGAATTTAAAATTGAATGTGAAACATTGCTCAGAGTTCAATGCAAACTTTGTGGCGAAATAAAATTTTGAAGAGTATGGAGGGATAAACGTTTAAAAACAAGTACATTCACAATTCTAAGAAGCTACCCTTGTCGATATAGAGAAAAATTGTAAATTTGCATTCTGGTTTTAGTGACAGCAGCCTATAAGATATTCGAAGCTGACTGACAAGTAGAACAGAAGAAAGAACAACAATGCTGATCGACGATGAATGAACGTGCTTGAAAAGCAAGATATCTTTGATTAAGCAAGACCCAAGAAGATTGATCCGTTTGCATCTGTTAATTTGATCTCTTCCATTTTTCTGGCAGACTGGTCATGCATTCGCAATTTCCACTGTCAAATCCATCAGTTAGTTCGCTATAGACATGTTTGTATCTGTCATCGCAATAACTGGCGAACTGTATGAATATAAATTAGCGGTTACATGACCAAATAAGAATGCCGTTCACGCTTTTTGGAATTTTTATCAATTAAAAAAATTTGTCTTTTTAATCGTTTTCAGAAATTAAGAACCCTAAAAATTGCATACGAAACAGTTTAAAGATTATCATTACATACATCCAGCGTTGAATTGAGTCTATCACTTGGAAATTCGCGTTGCTGATTGGAAGATCGTGACAGCCTTCCAACAACAAAACATTAAGACTACACCACTTCCAATAAAACTGCTAATTTCAGTTTAACAGTTTCATCTTTCAATGAAAACAGTGACAACTTTTGAAGTTACGCATCAAACCTCATTATAAATTATGAATAGTCTAGCGTTTAATTTATCGTAATATACGCCAATTAACACCAACGGCTCTTCCCAAAATCATATGCCGTGAATAACAGTGAAATCAATGTGACTTGTAAGGCATTACTTCTATTCTAAAATTGTGGTAGTCCTGATGTATCACACATAACTAGCTACCGTTTTTAACTGCATGAATAAGTCACCCAAAAAATATTTCAGTTTACGCAATTTTCATTTTATTTATGATAGAAATATAAAAAAGAGTAATAAGGATAACAACAAAATAATTAACAGAGTTATGTGTCCGTGTCTTTAGATAAAGAAGGGTATGCCCTTTTCACGTAACTGCCATATCCATTTGTTTTCTTCTTCAAAAAGTTATTATTATTTTTTACTAAAATCTTTTCACTGACAGTTGGATCGAATTTTCTTTTTGGCAGGCACTTCGTGAGAGCATCGTTCCAATTTTGAGATGTTTTAAGATGTAGGAGGATGTCGACCACGTGATTGAGGGCGAGGGCTTTCGAACCACTGGACCACCTGTGAGCCATTTGCAAGATTCATTCATTTATTTGTAGTAGGAAATTTTTTTTTACAAAAAGTTGCATAGAAGATTTATTTTCATTCATACATTCATGCATTCAGCCGAAGAAATTTAAAAATTAAAATAATTTAACATAATTATATGCCTGCTTGAATCTGTTTGAATACTGAAACTTGAAAAATCAATGCAAACAATAATATAATTTTTTAAAAGACTAAAGATAAACAGCTGAATAAATGAAAAGTGTATTTTTTGGAATTAAATAAAACAGAGAAAATAAGAATCTATTCTAACTTCACATATAAATAAATACGAATGCTAACTTCACATATCTATCAAGAGGAAACTTCATCATTCGAATCTTTTCCCTTTTTGCTTTCGCCATCGTCAGCGGAGTTTCAACAGCCTTGTCGACAATTGCCCCAATGATGTACACAAGGTCGTGGTCAAAGTTTGCCATCACCTCGGTTGCATTTGGAGACAAGTAGACGAGTCTAAATGCAAATTTAAATTATTAAATTTTTGTTGACAAGGGTAAATTAATAAAATAATTCAATTAAATTTCATTACATATAAAACTGCAGAAATAGCTATCATGAATCTCTTTCAAAGTAGTTTTATATGACGAATCAAAAGAAAAACAAACACAAACACTCAAAAAAATGACCACAGAGTAGCAAACACAACAGATTAATTATGTAAAACAAATATGAAAGAGCAATTGGTATTCCAAAGATGAAATCACACACATAACACCAACTTTTCTCTTGGATATAAATCAAGGTACGACTGCTCCGAGACTGTTATCGGTATCTCAGCCATGTTGGGAAATGCCTTCAACAACTTTTGACTGGTGCTGCTGGACTGCTTTATGCTGCAGAAGTGGAAATGAAATGGTTCTTTTGCAAGTTTGTTCATGCCGTGGCTGTTGTAGATCTATCAATTTATACATGCAACAATATTCAGCTAACTTATTACGTTGTAATAATTGAATATAATGATTGAATCAAATGTAGTCACCTTAAAGTTAGTCTCAGAATTTGACATTTAAACTGAGCAAACATAAATGTTACAGGCTTCAAATTGAAAAACCACCGGACAAAGTGATAGAAACAACAATAATATTGATGCAATCTTGTACAAGTGAAGTATACATAACTAACTTGTCTCATTAAATCTTTCAATTCCTTCTCAGTCAAATGTTCCTCGAATGAAAAATCAAAAACAAGGTGAGGCCCATGCATCATGGCTTGGAATATGTTAGCATAGTAGAACATGTTCTTCGTCTTCTCTTGCAAAAACAACAAGAAAGTGTTTTTGAAACTTTCAGTGAGGCCTTCCTCCTGTTGCTTCTGTATTTCTAATCTTCTCTCATACTGGGCTGCTAGATTGGCTTTCGCCTTTTCCTTCTTTTTCTGAATGGCCTTCTCAATGCAAAAGAGGTAATTGTAATACTTTTTTCTAGATGAAACAGTTTGATATTTCCTCAACAATTCCAACCACCGTTCATCCGTCATCACGCTAGGAACTCGAACCCCAGTCGAGAAGAACACATCGTATTCCAATTTCAAAACCTTCAACTTCTTCTCTTCCTCTTCAGTTAGTTGATTTAAATTGATGTTTTCCTGATATGATGTTTCACCTTTTGATAAATTTAAACAATTAACAAATATATAAATCAGAACATTATGTAGTTAAATTCATTAAAAATTAAAAATAATAATTGAGCATGACTTTTATTTTATAAAAGTTTTATATAAAAAAAACCATAACAGTTATGTTATAAATAATGTTACAAGATACACTCTCAGAACTGAAGATATGATATCTTAATTTAGAGATGAACAAGTATATCTTTATCATCACTCATTATACAACGTAGATTGGAATAAGAACATTAGTCTAAAAAAATTAGGGTTAGTTCAATTAATTAATGACATGAATGATGCTTATTAATGCATAAGCATAGCACAACAATCTGACATTGACATTCTTTGACTTAATTAAAATTTTCAATACATAATAATAAAAAAAATAATAATAATGTTTATCTTTATTTAATAAAATAATAAAATTGAATTAATAATTCATTTGTCGGTTATTTAACATTTAGCCTTAGTTAGCAATGCTATTAATTTTGATTTGATAAATTTTAAATAAAATAAGGCTCCCATTGAAATTAGTATTACTTAAAGCTTTAGCAGATTAACATAAATAAGGCCATGGCATAAACAAACTGATTAGGTAAGTGAAATTTTGACGATTGAAATTTGAAAGGAAGTAAAATTTATGAACTTTTAACGATCGGTTGTGTCTGGCCGTCGTCACATCGTTGCTGGTCTGCTTCTTCTTTAGCTTCTTCATTCAGGCTGCTGTAATACATTGGAAAGGATGACAAGGGCCATGGTTTTTTATTATTAAAAACGCTTTGTGAATTATTAATAGTAATACATATCGTTAAATTTGAATTATTAGAAAAAAATGAAAATTGACATTTTTTGATGTTTCGAAGCAAACGTGACTCTGCTAAAACATTTTTAGCAAATTTAAGCATCTCTCTAAAATTAAAATTCGAGCGATAACACAGGAAAAAACTCGCATGTAAACATGCTACAAAGAATCAAAACTAAAAATATATAAACCACTGACACAAATTTAGACGAATGTTAAAAAAAAGTATACTTCAAATGCATCATTTTCAAGATTTTGGAATAATAAGTTTATGTTAAGAATTTATTAATTTATAATTTATATAAAATTTATATAGAAGCAAAACAACGTGAATGAAAAAAATTTGTTGCCTGGTTACACAACTGGTGCTCATGACAACTATAATACTTCAAATTTTACCAATTTTAACATTTACTTTTAAAAAATATATTTATTTATTTATTTACAAAAGATGAACTTTCAAACGTTGACTTCTCAGATAGAGCATCTGGGAAACTCTGGAATAATATTGAGTCCTGAACAGAAGGCTCTGCTGGAAGTGTCTCTCCCAGTTTTGAAAAACGATGAAAAGTTAACAAATTTGCAATTTTGGGGTAAAATCAGGGGGGTTAATTCAGATTATTTCATTACAAAAGGTTTTGGAAATAATTATTTTGGCCCGAAGAGATATTTCTACAGGTATGTCATTGTGTGTGTGTGCTAACTGCGTGCACTGTACATACATGAACATTAGCGTTTTATCTTCAGTAGGTGTTTATACTCACAAACAATATTCATCTCTCACAAATTATGAGTTGTTGGTTTTTAACTGAAAAGTTTTTATTTTATATAAGCAATTTCATGTACCTATTCATCAAGTCAGGACTGTTTAAGCTGGGGAATACTGAACCCGCCTGACAAGGAAATGGTTAAAAAGTCAAAACTCGTTCATGAAATGTTAACAGGTGATCCCACTTTTGTCAGCGAATCAAAAGTTTTCACTCAACCTGATGAACAAGAAACCGAAGAAATCATGGTTCGTGTCATCACATGTCACAGTTGACCAGTTGAAATGCGAATATTCCAATCGTAAATCTTTTGATTCAATACATACATTTTTAAGTTTGCCATCTTTCTCAATTTATGTTTAAATGTTAACCACATTATCGTTGGAAATTTTCAACAATTGTTGGTTAATCCAATAAAAATTATCAGGTGACAATGAAAGAAGAGGACAGACTGGCTTGCGTGATTCAAAGAATTGAAAAGGACGTTTTTATAGTGCCTAGGAAGGCCTTCATTAAATTATCCAACGGAGATGTCATTCCTAATAGGAGTTTTGAAGGTATCCTGCACTTTTTGTTATGAAAATTTAAATAATCAGGAAACCAAATCAATCCATGTAAATGTGATAAGAATTTTTCTAAACAGGCCTAGAAGCGTCAGAAGCTTGCCAGTTTTATAACTTCATGCACTTCAGAAAGGAACGTATGCATTCGAAAGTCTTCAATAGACCTGACATCGAAAAATCGATCGACTTCATGGATACGATTGAGGACGATATCCCTAAAGGTTTATTTAGCGGACGGAATCTAAAAATAGACTATTAAAAAATAAATTTGTAACTGTATTGTCTCTTATATATTATAATAATTAAAAAATGTTTGGTTTAACGCACGACCAAATTCAATTTAAGTTGTTGTTTATGATTAGTTGATTACCCACAATTAAGTAAGTTTTTCATTGTATTTAATGTTTTTTCTCAACTTTGTGTTTATTAAACACCTAAAAATTCAAACTTAGGATAAAAATTGATACTTTGAAACGTCTCTACTTGATATAATTGATTCCTATACTTAAAATCTATTTTTTATTGAAAGTTTCCAGTTAAATTACATAAGAAATACTGCATAAGAAATTCTTATTAAGACATCTACTTAGAAGATAACAAAATAATACATTTAAATTTGAAATAATTTTATAAGGGAGTAATTTAAAAAATTTAAAACTACATTAGTTCTTAAATAATAAAATAATTTGTTTAGGTTCATGGAGTTTGCAGATGGAGAACGGAGAGACATTGGTCACTTTGAAGAGTCTACTCTGGTTGGGTTTGGTTTTTTATCACGTTGTAGGCACAAAACAATTTGGTTGTTCATATTTCGGCTACGGAGATTACAACATTGACCTTCCATTCATGTTGTAAATCACGTTGGAAACTTCTACACAGCCTAACAAAAATCTACATGTCTTATAAGTCGCACTGTTAATTCAGATTAATTTGTTTTACAAGAAATTTTAGATATTTTATCTGGTCAATTTCAAGTTATATTAAAAATATTATCATAATCTATTTATCTAACTCATTTTTTTTAGAAACTTATGTGTTTTAATTTTCTCCTTTACATTACACTAATCATGAATATATATCTTGTCGAATATTTACTTACAAAAACAAAATTTAAATTGTGATTGAATCTAGTTTCTTAGTCTATTGCAGTTTTTCGTCTTTTATAATTATAATTCGTTTAAAAGCCGATTGGATAGTTCAAAGTTTAATATTTATTAAATCACATGAAAAAGTAAAATGCAAATTAAATGTTCACTAAAAGTAAAGAAAATAATTTACAATATATACAAGATATTTAAAAGTTGCATTCCATCACCATGACCAGTCTAATGACTCCAGTTTCAAATTCTTGCTCAACTTCTCGTCACCTCCATTCCCACGTTTTCGTTTACCATTGGAAGTTGTTTTTGTATCATCGTCTTCATCATCATTGACTTGAAAGATAGAATCGTAAAGAGGTTCATCAATAAAAGTTTGCAAGATTACTGAATCGGAGGTAACAGGATTGTCGAATGGTCTCTTGTCCCTGCATTTCCACAATTCATCAGCTTCGTCATCTGAACCATCAATTGTAATACATTTTTTGTCCTCCTTCTTCTTAGTTTCCACTCCTTGCAGATGATAATATAGATCCATATCCCTGTACCTCCCACGGTCATGTTTGCAAAATTTTTTTTGCTTCACCTCAAATAACTTCCTCCTGCCATCCACTCTGCGCCAAACGGATTTAAACCTCCTCCAGCATATTGGACAGTGGGGTTTGACTCTCTTCGCGTGCTTCACGATGCAATTGAAACAAAACTCATGCATGCAAGTGGTTATTACCCCTTTTTTCTCTGCAAGTATTTGTTTCAAACAAATTCGACAGTCGTTCAGCTTGGAAGATGGTTGTGATGAAGATGATGCCATGTCTAAGGTCCAAGTTATAAACGCTAAAGATTGATTTAATGAAGAATTGTTGATCTGAAATGTAAGTTCTCCTTCTAATGTTGTCGATGTGGAATACGATCTGCTGAATGAAGAACTGAAGCGATATTTATAGAAAGTTTGATCTAGGCCGTGAACGAATTTTGTTAGAAAATTTATAACAAGTAAAGAGATCAATCAAAACAATAGATTCACTTTCTTCTATAAAGAGATCAATAAAGAACAATGGATTCACTTTAATTTTCTTTGATGTTTTTAATTAGTTCAAATTTTTAATTGGCGAGTGTCAATTAATAATGGCATTAACTCCCTAATTGGTTAGATGAAAGAAAGGGGTGGAGTCAACGTATTGCCAGGGACACATAGTGACGAACAAAGTTGATTGATGAAGAATAAAGTTGTCAGAATTTCACGGCTTAAATGAAACATCGTGTCACTCGCTATCCAATTAGGAAGGTAATGCCATCGTTAGTTGACACTCGCCAAAATTGACTGTCATCTTCACATCAACAACTTCCTCGTCGCCGTCATCTTCAGATTTCAATGTCGAGTGATGTTGGTTCATCCTGTTATTTCCAGACTCCTAGAGTAAATAAATAAAAATCTTTTATTTATCCTATAACTTTTAGTGACTTTTACAGGTTAGAAATAATTTGAAATTTTTGAGTGATCTTAAAAATTAAACTTTGATATTAATTTTCCGGGTGTTATTAGACTAGTCAATTACTGTTTCAGCTTTAATTTCATAAATTTTCGTAAGCTTGTTGTTTGATCAATAAATTTGAAAGTTATTGTCATATAAAATCGAACCTGAGGCTTGTTGATGGACGAAGGTATTACAAGATAACTGTCAATTTATTGATTTCAATTAATTTCTTTTTTTTGATTAACTTATTGTTACATAAAAATAAAAACTTCAAAAGTTATCAACAAAATCACTAAACTCAATCGAATAGCATCAATTTTGGATTATAGAATTATCTTTGAAGCATGAAACATTACGAAGGCAGCTGTTGCTGCTTTGATTGAAAAATAAATCATATGGTGACATCATATGATCATATGATATTGTCGAATGGTCTTTTGTCCATAGTGATACATCTCATTTCGTTCAACTTTTTGCTTATTTATTTAATAATTCTCACGACAAAGTTTCCATATTTTGATGCCATCGTTATGTGGTTCGTTTAATGGTGTAATGAAAAATATCATCATTAGCGAGGATATTTAATTACCAATTATAATTTGATGCGTATTATTTTTGTTATTATTTAGTCTGAATTAAAATTGAATAAAATTGACGAAAAAAGCATTCGTTTGACAAATATTTATCAGAAAAAATTGTCCATAAAAAGTGTTATTAAGATGTTGGAGTTGGATTGAAAAATATCCGACTTCGACTCAGATTCCGGCCCCCAAAAAATTCCCATCTGGGCAAAAATCTCCGGCTGACCAAATTAACCGATTACAAGACAACACAATGAAATACTATACACTCTAACACACTGCAATACAATACAATAAATTACATCACAATACAATACATCACCTTTTGTGCTTTTACAGTATAATTTAACAAACATTTGGTAATTTTAAGGAACAATTCGTTAACGCACTTATTAAATTTGGAGAAAACAACAGCTGCGACATAAATGTTCAAGCATGTTTTAGTTATTTTTTAATTGGTTTATTTTTGGGTTTTTACACTATATAAATAATTTTTTTAGTGTTTATTATTCTATTCTACCATTATTTTGATTCAGACTCCGAAGCTAATTTGGTTATTATTTATTTGAAATTATCAATTAAAAACATACACTCGGAATTTTATCAAAAACGTAAACTACCAATCTAATTACCATAAGAACAGACAATAAACTTGTGTGTTCAATATGTCCTATGCAGTGACGTCATTCGGGGAATACCTTTCTAAGGGGCTTAATGTTGGGGCGAAAAATCCACCCTATATAAAATATAGGGACTGATAGATTAAAGAATTTGACATCAAAAGTTACAGTGAAAAAAGATAACAAAATCTATAAATATTTAGAAATATACTTTTACTTATATATGTATGCCTTGTACATGAGCAATTTAGGTCCTAGGCTTATATATAATTGTATTTTTTGTACTGTCGCTATATCCTTTTGTTCATCTACATATATGTAATTAAGTTCAATAAACACGCTATTGGTAATGATTAACATCATAAAGGATGTTTCAAACATTTAGTAAGGAGTAGTTTGTGTAAAAACATTCGCTTTGATTAGCATCGGTAATTATGTCTACCTAACAGACATGAGAAAACCAAAATAAAATGTTTCAATAATGTTCAGTTGAAATCCACTCTCATCTCACTATATTAAGTTTTAATGAAGTTTTATAAACCAATCTTTTTTACTTTATTTTCAAATGAGCACTCGGTTTTACATTTGCTAGGACTGAAACTTATCAAACTAATTTTGAAAATTATTAAATTAAAAAGTTGTAAGAATGTTTTCTTGACAAAATTTATTGTTGAAAATATATTTTTATGATATATGAGTTGAAATCAACAATTTAATGTTGATGAAAGTAAAGAAAATCTCTTTTTTTGAAAAACAGTAAAAAATTTAAAGCTTTTAAAACATAATCTACTAATCTCATTCTTGTGAAAATAATGTTCATCTTAAGTTTTCTCATCTATTCATGGAGCCTGTCGACGATATTTCAATCCATTGCTACAGGTCAGTGACTTGTTTATCTTAAATAATTTTTATGATAAACAAAATTATGATAACAATGATACGAACATTTATTTTTAATTTTGATACGACTCAATAATTTACTAAAAATAAAATAATTGTTTACATTTAATTTTAGATGACGACATTTTAACACAAAGCCCACTAATAGGAAGAAATTATCTTAAGTTTGATTTGGAAACAAAAAATGCATTTGATGGAGATCCTCAAACATGTATCAGATATAGTGAGCTGGTTATCTATCTTGAAAGTTTTTATATCATCCATAAGGTGGAAGTACTCTTTGGCAACGTTTATACTAATAGGAATGTACAAGGTGAGACCTTTTAATTTTTATCCTCTTGAACTCTGAATGAATTATAAATTTTATCACACTTACATATAAAAACATAACAATTGCAGTTCAAACCAAAGCAAACTTCACCGTAGATGTCTTGATGTTTGAAGAAAACCATACTTATGCAAAAAAGAAAACAAACAGAAAACAGTGTCATGAATTGTTGAAAACTTCGAACCAAAGTGTTGAGCTGGTGAGATGCGATGTGATGCAGAGGGGTCGGTATGTTGTCGTCCTGCAGCACAAATCACCGATCGACATTTGTGAAGTTCGCTTGTATGGAATGCAATCGACATTAAGTTAGTTGTATAATATAATCTATTTTTTGCCACAAAAAATTTTCAAATTACAATTCAAAAATCGATTTAAACAGAGAATGTAGCATACAAGAAACCTGCCTACCAAAGTTCGACTTATAACTCACAGAACGCAGATAAGGCAGTAGATGGATATAATTTTGGGGAGGAGGAAGATTATTGCGCTCACGGTGGTGACAAACAGGAAGATAAAGAGAACTGGCTGGTGGTTGATTTGCTGTCAACTCATCAAATTGTCGGAATCTTTATTTTTGGCAGACAAGATGAATATTATGGTTAGAATTTTAATCACATTCATCTAATTTTTTAATCAATTTTGTTTTGAATTTCACAGCGGCGAGATTGAACAACTTCATGGTAGGAGTAACTGATGACTTCAATGAAAAAACCAACCGACCAGTCAGAGGTAACTACACATTATGTGGTCAGTATGGAGCGATGAAAGGTAAAGACGCAGCTGTTGAATGCGAGAGTTCAAATGTGGCTGGAAGGTACCTCATCATTCAACTGCCTCATGATAATACAGAGGGCTGTTTGACTATTTGTGAACTGGAAGTTTACGCTGTTCCCATCGGTAATTGAAATCAACGGAACAAATTTGCAATTTAACTATGAACTATTGAAATGCTTTCTCAGAGGCACGGCTTGAAAAGCATTTGTTGCATCAATATTCAACTGAAAAACAAGAGACCGTTAAGATTCTAAACATCAGTAATTGTTTGACGAGCTGCCGTTCATCCGGATACACCTACGCTCAGTTCCAGGTAGTCAATTATAACACACTTCGCGCTTCTGAATAATTTCAAGTTTAATGTAACTTTGTTCTAAGGGAAGTAAATGTTGGTGTGGAATGAAGTTGAATGACAAAAAAAATTTACGAGAAGATGATCGTTACAGTGTCACACTAGCAAGTTGCTACAATTCTCCATTTTGTTTTATAATATTAGATATAAAAAATTATTTTGTTTTTTGTTGCAATGTTTATTTAGCTTGTGAGATTGGATATTTCGGAGAGGAATGCGATAAAATATGTCACTGCAGAGGAAATATGCCTTGCAACGTGCTGAATGGTTCTTGCGACGGTGGGTGTGAGGTGGGCTGGAAGGGATCACAATGCCAGGACAAAGGTTGGCTGCTCGTTTTTACTTGTTGCTTTCAAAAGTTCCATAAAGTTAACGTGGGAACGATTGATCATTTTTATCAACGTTAATAGATTTCGCATCGAGGGAGATTGAAAACAATAGTTACTATCTGCAATGTGGACGAGGATCTGCAATATCCATTACGATGGATATGAACAAAAAAAGTGCTAACAGTTGTTTTAAAACATGCTCTGCTCAAAATTATTTCTCGAGATTCAAAGTAATTAAATCGAAGTTTCATTTATTAAATTAATAATTTTTGTTTAATTTTGAGTTAAACAACGTTGTTTACTGTGCAGTAATAGAATGTTATTGAAATCGCTGTTTTAACCCACTGAACAACCACACCTACAAAACTGTTTGTCTACGTGTTATTTATTGCATTTAGTTTCCAAACGGATGTACGTGCCCAAAATCCTTCAAAAAGTCTAAAGCCGACCGATTTGATTGTTTTAAAGATTGGACGGAAAACATAAATAATACGTTTTTTTTGTTTTCGGGTTTGTTTATTATACAAAAAATTAGTATTTAATTATTTTAAAATTTTGGCCCATCCCTCGTCAATGTTGTCTAGATTCGCCACTGATTACATAGCTGTAAAGACGCTCTTTACAGATTTTTCTACAAAGTTTTCACTTCATATACAACATATAGATAACTCTTAGTTCTGAAAATCAAGGTTGAAAATTCCGTAGAGTATTTTACGAATGTGTTATGTAAATTATCTTGCAGCCTGTCCACATGGTAGCTATGGAGAAAACTGTCTAGAGAAATGTCATTGTAGAGAAGAGACACCATGTAATCTCGAAGGATCATGTCTGTATGTAGATGGTCAGTGTCAACCTGGGTGGACAGGTCCTCACTGCAGTGAACCAGGTTTTTAGAATATATTATATGTTTGATGATGTACTTAGAGCAGATTTAACCGTTTAGCGAACCCCAGACTAAATGATAAATTTCCATCCATTTTTTACCATTTTAATACAAATAAAAATTCAATAGTAAATGTAATTTAGAGTTTTTAGAGCAGTTTTTACGATTACCAAGCATTTCTCAAATTGTAACTTCTTTTGTCCAATAAATTTTTCAAATAAATTCCACGGAATGCTAACTGAATTTTATTTGTATTCATTTACAAATATGAAATTGTGGGTTTTAGACTATCATAAATACAATTATTTATAAAGATAACTGCGTTTTCGGCATTATTCAACTTGTAGCTGAGTTTCTCAATTTTTCTAACGAGACTTTTATCATCTTAATTAAATTTACTAAGGTTAAATAAAAAAAACTTTTAATATTTGACATTTTAACAAAACATTAATAATAACGTTATTACAAAAAGAGCTTATCTGTAGTAATAACGTTATTAATAATTTTTTGTCAAAAATGTCAAATATTAAGACTTTTTTTATTTAAACTTAATAAACTTCATCAAGATGATAAAAGTCTCGTTAGAAAAATTGAGAAACTCAACTACAAGTTGAATAATGCCGAAAACGCAGTGATCTTTATAAATAATTGTATTTACAAATATGAATGTACACCTTCCTACATCAACACTCGCACAGATTGTGAGAAACTTGGAGCAGGCAAGGAGTGCAATACCATTTTTGTAGATGAAATTTATTTTAATGTTGTCTCGTGTGTCGATGGTTATGTACCGGATGAGAATGATAGAGGACAATGCCTTGGTTTGTATATGATTCGTCTTTTTGTTGTTCATTTTAGTAATCTGTTCATATGAATTTTTTAATATATGTTTTTGTTCTAAAATGTACTTTTCACTCTTTGAAAATTTTCAAGATATTGATGAATGTAAAGAGGACTTGCATGATTGTGACCTGAACACAACAGAATGTAGGAATATTAACGGAAGTTTCACCTGTAATTGTCTTCCGGGCTTGATGAGAAATGGGTTATCTATGTTGTGCGAAGGTGAATATTATTATTGACATGAAATTTGTTTCAAACAATGCGTTGGTTTGGTGGTCGTTATTAATATAATGATTGTTTCAAACAATGAGTTGGTTTGGTGGTCGTTATTAATATAATGATTGTTTCAAAACAATGAACAAACGGTGAACATACAGACATTGACGAGTGTTTGACCTCGCCGTGCGAATCAAACTTTACTTCATGCTCCAACACTTTTGGCTCATATGAATGTGTTTGCGAGGATGGCTTTGAAAAAAATTCAAACGATCTCTGCCAAGGTCTTTCCTTTTCAGACATTGTTGTATTTTCTGAAACTGAAAACTTTTTTATTTCGATATTTTTCCCACCAGACTTGAATGAGTGTAAGTTTGCTACTTGCGATTGGACAACTTCATATTGCACGAACACTGTGGGCTCGTACGAATGTACCTGCTTTCCAGGATTTCAAAAATTTAACACTTCTTGCGATGGTAAATAATGATAAAAAGTTGCACTTGCTTTCAAAAATAATAACTTATCAATCGAAAATATTTAAAATAGCGTTTGAAAAAATTATTGTACTTTCTGGTAAACTTGAAAATTTTCACTAACCAAAAATTTGCAGCTCAAATTTTTTCAAAATTTTCTATAATAACTACTTTAACATCGTATTAAATATAGTCTGTAATTTACCTACTTATATTTGTGGCAAAGTTCCAGAGAGCCCAAAAGCTAAACATTTCTTTCCAAATTTTGTGAACGGTTTAAATTTAATAAAAACGAGAAGATTTTAATAAAACTTTATTTCCCGACCACCAAACAACTTTAAATTGAAAACTCTTCTAATAACACTAGTCTTTCACTCTATGATCTCGGTTTTTGATGTTACACGCAAGGAAATTTCGGTTTAGTAAAGAAAACATCATGTTTCGAATGTATCTTTTCACAGAATATTCTACTTTTTAGATTGAGTTAGATCTACCAGATTTAAAAGATGGTAATTTAGATGTATGTTTAATGATTGAATTCAGACGTCAACGAATGTGAGAACGAAACTTTAAACCAATGTGACAGCAACACAACAAGCTGCTTAAACACATTTGGTTCGCACACATGCCAGTGCAACGAAGGTCTTGAATGGAAGCCTTCCAGTCAAACATCCTGTCAAGGTAGATGTACTTGCTGTTGTCACTATTATATATGATTATGATTTCGTCAGAGTTTTGATTTTACTAATTTTAGTAAGCTGAAGTTAAAACTCATTTAAATATTTGAAAATTTTGAAAATTAAACAAGAAATCATTGTTTTGATGAAGTTTTAAATGAAATTGAATTTTAAAAAATATCTAATTATTTTTTCAATACAGTTTTGACTTCAAAATTACCTCTTCCAAAACTGACTCTTATCATCATTATTGTCGCCATTTTACTGGTCATGTTTTGCATTGGAATTGTGATTCTGGTAGTTAAAAAAAGGTGACAATATTTTTCCATGAAAATTAAATATTTTCTTTTTAACTGGTCATTTCGCCATTAATTTAAATCTGTTTATTTAGAAACAATTTTGAAAAGTTTAAAAAAAGAAAAAGATCCCGCTATAAAGGTTTATTAAATTAGTTGTAGCCTACTTCTTAATAAATATTTACATGAGTTATTCAACAAAATTTACAGATATAAAATTAAACGATCCTATATCGACGAAACAAAACGGAACGCTGAAAAAATCCAACATAATCGCGATAGACGATCTGAAAGAATATTTCAAGAAGAATCTGAATGCCATTGAACAGGAATACAAGGTGGGCTTTTTTTTATTTTTTAGCAAATCTAATCTTCAAACTAAAATACGAATTTTTCTAAAAAAGTTAATCCTTAATGTTTAAATACAAATCTTTCAAAAACATTATCAATGGACAGAACATGCCTAAAGAGCTTGCTGGTGAAACTTTTAAAGTTGCAACTTCGGATGGTAACAAAAATAAAAATCGCTTCAAAAATATTCTGCCGTGTTAGTATTATTGTTTCAAAACATAAAAGAACATTCATGAAAATTATAAAAAATTGATAACTCACTTAAAATAATGAATAATAATAATTATTGAAAAAATGTGAGTAATTATAAATATAGAAACTAACCATCTAAAAATTAATGTTAAAACGCAGACGATCAAAACATCGTTCCTTTAGATGAAGGTAAATACATCAACGCAAGTTTTATACACGTTAGTGATGCAATTATAAGGAAAATTTGGTAATTAAATTATACGTAATGATGTAATAATAATGAAATTATATATAAACTTAACGTATTGCCGTTTAATATTTGCGGTGGTCAGCATCAACCAATTTAAATATCTTGAACTAAAATCTTAAAAGCTTTGCTATATTGAAATCCTTTTCCTGCCAGTTTCAAAGATTTTTTTCATGTTTTTATTTCATTTGTGTAGAAATAAATTATCTTTAATATTAGTTTTCAAAACAAGTTTAATTTTTAATGATATTTGTTCTGCAAATTTATTTGGCAATCAATTAATTATTTTAACTTAGTTCTAACCAAGTCTAACTTTATCATACCATCGTTTTTTCAACCAGAATTACGGGACTGATCAGGCAACCATTATTGCGACACAAGGTTAAATGTTTGCGCTATTTATTTTAACCACGTGGCTTAATTCTAAACTCAATTTCCATCTATAATTTATTCATTTGGTGTTTTTGAATTTTTATTATTTTCCTAATTATTTGTATTTAACTAAAAATATTTGAAAATCTAGTTTTAAAATAGCGCTAGGTAAAGTGCGTAGGTACTAGCTAATATGTTTTTCTATATGCATGTGTGGTTTGAACTTGAAGTATTAGTTGCAAAGAAGAGTGATGTAACTAGGGCTATTGTCAAAAAAGTAGTGTATAAATTGCACAATATATGGAAAATAATAGATATAGATCTAACAGAAGTTATATATTTGTGTCCATGATCTTACATACATGTTGCTGCTGTTTGATAATTTAGGACCAATACCTTCGACTACCATTGATTTCTGGAATATGATATGCAAATACAATGTAAAAGTAATTGTCATGTTAGCTCAGTGCTTCGAAGATGGAAAGGTTAGACAGAAAAAAACGTTTCATATTTTAAAAAAATGATTATTATTAGATGTAACTATTGCATTTATCAGAACAAGTGCAATGCTTACTGGCCAGATGGTGAAGATGTTAAGTTTGGTACTGTCAAAATTTCTTTGAAATCCGAGAAGAAATACACGCACTACACTTTACGACATCTAGAAGTGGAATCAGTAAGCCAGTCGTCGTTATAATATGATGTTTAACGGTTTCTTTCTCTAAGGCTTTTTGAAGTTAATAACTAATTAAATTTCATGCAGGTTTTTGTTGTTTCTAAAAATAATTAATCAAGTTTATGAGAGAAAAATCATTAAAAAACGATAATTTTTAGCTTGACAAAACTATGACGGTAGTCCAAATGCAATACGTCACGTGGCCAGACAAAGGAGTCCCTCGAAACCTCTCAAGTATTTTATCGTTGTGGCAAAAGGTTTCTGCTCACAGAAAAGATAATGAATTTTTGGTTGTTCACTGCAGGTTAAATTTTAAAAATAAAACTTGATGTGGATAATAAAATTTTTTTTAAATTAAGTAAAAACTTTCATGTTGTTTGAAGCGCTGGAGTTGGAAGAACGGGAACCTTCATTGCGATGAATTATTTGATGAAACAACTGGAAAACGAAGGAAGCGTCGATATTTTGGGGTGTATGAGCCGTTTGCGAGAAGATAGGCCGCAAATGATTCAAACGCTGGTCTGTCATGAATATTTTAATATCAAAACTTTCGAGGATCAATAATTTCAGTTTTAATTTCTGAAAATAGTTTTAAAAAGTGAAAGATCCAATTAGTTGCAAATTTGTATCTTCAATAAATGTTTCTTCATTTACACATATATATGTTAATTATAGTGTTATGAATACTTTTGTAGGAGCAATACAAGCTCTGTTTCTCGAGCATTCTCCTCCATCATCTGGTTGGCACAACATCAATATCCACAGCCAACCTGACTGAGACATCAAAAGTTTTGAGGGAACTCTTACAGACTGACAGAGGAGATGAGAAGTTAAAAAAACAGTTTGAGGTAAAAATAATAGTTAGTTACGATTATAAATTTTATAAATTGTTAAAAATATAAAATTATGAACAGATGATTGATGAATCATGTTCTTCGGAAACCAAAGGTTAAAATTTATTCCGACTGAAATAAAGAGATTTATTACTCTATAGGCAGCATCCATTTTAAAAAACAACGAAGTTAAAAATGTTTTCTTACAGATGTTTCAAAATATAAAACTAATTTGGATGAAAAATTATTCAACGGCGTCTACATCGAAGTAACTTTTTAACTTTTTCAAAAACTGACATAAATAAATTTTTTAAATTTTGAAACTTTTTAGTTATTCCAATCGAGTGTTAAATTTATCTGTGCGACGTTATCATCAGCTGCCTGCGTTGAAGATGTACTTAAAATTATGGAAGAAATAGATGGAACTATCTTTTTACTGGATAACAAAGAAAATGTTTGTTATTTGAATTCTTTTTAGGAATAATTTTTTGGAAAATATTTAAAAATTATAAATTTTTTAATTCTCTCAGCCATTTGTTGAATTGCTGAAAGAAAATTGCAACATACAAACTGATAAGAGTTTAGTTAACCTGAAACATTCATCAGACGTGAAGTTTGGAAAAATTTTGCAATTCGGATATGTAGATGAAACAAGTATTTATGAAAACGTTCAACAAACTAAAGTTAGAAAGTTTTGATTTTTAATTATGGTTTGCATTTCTAATCCAATGAAAATGATCAAAATTTGTCCAGTCGTCACCAGAAAAAACATTGTTGTATCTTCCAAGCGAAGAACTCAAACCCGATGCATTCGATTTTTTGTTCAAATATTTGAAAGCACGTGCAGAAGTTAATAAAGATCAATATACTCTATTCTTAGACAGGTAAATCAAATACTTGTCCACTCAGAACAATTTTAATTTTTAAAATTTAAAACTGATTAAAAGGTAAAAAATTTAAAATTTTTTAAAAGATAAAAACATTGAAAGATAAAAGCGAACGAATTTTATTTCAAAAAACTTCATCAGATGCAATTTCGCGAAGTGCGGTCACATAGTTGCATGTTACAACTTGGTGCATATGATGAACGAACATAATGAAGTCAACGTCCTGGAAAGTGTTTGGGATTTGAAGAACATCCAGAAAAGAATGATCCCAAACTTTGTTCGTTAACATATATTACTATCCTTTAAATTTGAATTTAAAATTTTAATTAGTATTTTTACATTACAAGATTTGTTTAATTTCAATTTTTTTAACACATTTTTTGACTATGCAGTTTAAAAATTATTGAATAAAAATGAAAATTTAAAATCATTATATTTTAAAGGAAAAACAAACTTTTATTCAAAAAATTTTAAATAAAAATTTTGAAATCATTTTAATAAATAGTATTAAAACTGAAATCACACGCAGTCCTGTTACAAAAATCTCTTCAAATTCCTCACTACTTACATAGACTCGGTCTGGATCGACAAGAAGACCAACAAAATTGTGGAGAACGGTGATGTTGATCACATCTATTCCAACGTTAATAAACCATAATAAATTAAAAGTTAGGTATCAGAAAATTAATATTTATCCAACATACTTGTAAATTATTAAATGTTTTTTAAATTTACAGCTTCATTCATTTATTTTATTACATTAACCACTTAGTAACGTATGTTTTTGCTTCTTTCTTGAAACTTATTATTGATATATGAGTGGATTTATAGTTATATAGATGAATTTCATAGTTTTATTTTAAAGCAAAAATAATTTTAATAATAGTAATAACAGTTAAAATTTGATTTCTAAATAAATGTTATTTCTGGTGATGATTTTCTCTAAGTTTGTTTGAATACAAAATGATGTTACAGGTCTCATCAAAAATTTGATGCTGAAAATAGTTGAAATCTTATTGATTGATAAATTTTATGTTTTATTTTAATTGATTGCTAATGCAAAGAAATCCCCGCTTACCACATGCAATGCTTATGATACGTTGTTTCACGTGTTTTCTTGTTTCCTTCTCCTTAGCTGGTGATTTGCTGAGAGCGGTTTCGCCGACAATACACTGCTGTTGGTGTCAATGAATTTTAAACATTTTTAATAAACTTTTCCAATCAATTTTATTCATTGCTTTGGCATGTTTAGGGCTAAACAGTTGGTTTTGCAGGTTCTCTTCAATATGTTTGATCCATGTTTTCTTTGATGAAGAACTATGAATTTTCCGGATGTTAGGTCGAGATCTCCACAGCAGATGGTGTGGAAAACCAAACTGGCTCATTTGACACACGATCATACCATCGCAATTGTCGTCTTTGTATCATCTCTTCAATAGTCTGTTTATTCTGGCATCTCGCTCTAATATTAACGTTTGTGAGATGGTCTCTAAGAGAAATTTTGAGAATCCTTCGGAGACATTTCATTAGAAAAATATTAAGTTTGTTTAAATTTGAATTTAGTAAGGTCTACACTTCTTAACTGAAAAGTAGGATTGGTATGATCAGTGTTCGGAAAAGACGTATCTTGGTTGTAGTTGATATTTTGTTTTTTTCCAGAGACACCATCTAAGCAATGCAAAAGTTGAAGTGGCCTGTCCAATTCTTGCTTGTACATCGACGGAGGGTGCCACTTTCATTTCCTGGAAGAGAAATCCAAGGTATTTAAAAAATTCCACTCGCTCAATTAGACCTCCAGCTAGATGATCATGGATGGTAATCCATCTGTTGTTGGTACTTTTGTTTAGCCAGCATTTATCTTAAGGCCACATGCCTGGTGCTGCTGTGTGGGCAATGTCGTGAAGGATATCTAAAGCTTCTTTGTCATCTTCTGCAATTTCAGCAATGTCATCAGCAGACATCATGTTATACAAATGCTTGTCGGTGCCAAACTGAATTTCATTTCTTTTTTTAAAAACAATTCACATGATAGCATCGATGACAGCAGTGACAACGGGATTCGATTGCGAAGAAATCCCCGCCTACAACATGCAATGTGTTTGATGCATATTTCCATGTGTATTTACCTGCACTGTGTGTTTGTTGTTGACGCTTCTGAAAAATATTAAAAAAAGAATTGTACTATATAAATAATTAATTTGTTGATTAATCCTGTCCTTTAAAGAAAAATATTGCTGTGCTCTTAAGTTTAAAAATAAAGCTTAAACTTAATACAACCTTTTGTTTCTATATTCATTTACATACGTTATTGGTGTTTCAGAGATTACAAGTGTGTGTATATAAATGCAAGATTCACCCAAGTTAACAATTTGCTAACCTTAACTATAACTTAAATTTGTTTTATTTCAAGACTTTTTAATTTCATTAAAAAATGACCTTTTTAAATGTTCATTTAATAATGGTCTGAAATACCAGTTATTTAAAATACGGTTATTGAAAAGAAATTGTTGTTGTTCTTATTTTATTAGAAACGTCAAATTAAAAACATTTATGTGAATGTTTAAAAATAAAATAGTTAACTCGCTAAACTTTGTTACTGAGCTAATAAATTTAAACAATGTCTCCTTAAAATAATAACTTTAGAAGTTCAACGATAAATAATGTATTATAATATATATTCTAACTAAAACAAGCGTCTTAAGTTAACTACATAGATATTTTCAAAAAATTCACCTGAATACATTCTAGACTTGAAAACTTTTTAAAAACTGATTAATTAAAACACCATCAATTTAAATACAAAAATTGGAACATAAAATATTTATATCACCGAGACACACATCGCCCGATGTAATTTGAAGTCAGGACACGTAATTACGTGTAACAACACGATGCACACGCAGCGAAACAAACATTGGTTAGATCCATCCTTGATTCTCTGGCCTTGCCTTAACTTTACAGCTGTTTTTTAACCTTCAGTTTTCTTCCTATTTTTTTCAAACTTTTTCAAATTGTTGTTTATTTAATTTAAAATTAAATTGTGAATATTTGCCTAATGTTAGAAAAAAATAATACAAAATTTAATTAGATTCAAACGTTTGAGCGTTTGGGTGTGCTTGAATATTTTGCATATTCAACAGGATGAATATTTTCCAAGAAAGGCTTATTATAGAATAGTCTTTAAATTAGAGTACAAAACACTTGTTTATCATCTGTTTTTAATCTCAACTATTTTAACTATAGAACATGTAACTTATAGATGGATATATTCGTATATTTATGTTCTTATATGTATATATGTGTATATATACATTTGATTTCATTAAAAAAATACTTTATGATATTCTGTATTAACATTCAACTTTACTGTGTGTGTATATATATATAAAAATATATATATATATATATATATGAGCGTAGATGCATATATATATATATATATGCTATATATATATATATATATATATGCTAAGAGTGATTTGCAAAAGAATTGATAGAAATGTATCATGGTTTGATGATGATTGCGTTTGATGATTGTCAAACGATATTGCAGAAAACTTGAGAGATTGTATAGAAGAAGTTTATCAAATGTTCATCGTGAAAATTGGCTTGGTTCATTGAAGACAAAATACAAATTATATTCAGATCAGTGATGACGTAAGTACTCAAAAAATGTACTTAAGTATAAGTACTAAGTACTCAGTAATAAAAGTACTTAAGTATAAGTACTAAGTACCGAAACAGATTGTATACTTGATACTTATAAGTACTAAGTATAAGTACTAAGTACATAAGTACCTAAGTACATACCATGGTTAATTTGAAATATTTATAAATTTATTAAACTCAGAAATCAACTCATTATTTACAGTAATTTATTTACATCAATAAAAGAGTTTGTTCTTTTTGAGTAAAAGTAAAGTTTCAAATGATTCATCACTTAAACGATTTCTTCCAGCCTGGCTAAATATACGTTCCACACTTTAACACATATATTTATAAGGATTGTTATATATATATATATATATATCTATATAT